CGTCCTCTCTTGTGTCATGATGAGGTTCACATAAAGCACGGTTAATGTATTATATTATTGAGGTGTCTCAAATATACGTCAATCAAGTGGCACCTGCTAACGGGGTGGTGGATGATATGTTTACATCTAAAAACATATTTTTCAAACATTATTATTTTTATTTTCTTTGTTTTTTTACTTTTTTTGTTAACGATCCGCGATCTACCCGCACCACACTCGCGATCGACCGGTCGATCGCGATCGACTGGTTGGTGACCACTGATCTAGATACTTTCCAAGGTTTGACATAATGAATTGTGCTACTTTTAAAGCAAGCAGCGATGTTTTCAAATCTGTAATCAAAAAGCTCCTCAAAAACGCTATCGAAGCAGTTCCTGCCGTTGCTATGTTAGTTCAAACGGTAACAACGGACTATTTTTCTTAGCGGATGCATGTCAATTTAAATCAATACATACAACTATTTTTTAAATCAAGAAAATCATTTTCTAAATCCTTAAAAGCATTTCAATTAATATTGGGAGTCATAACGTTACATGCCGATCTAGATCCCTCCGCTTCGCGTCGGGCTCCTGATCAGCCTGTCGGTGTTCTTTTCCCCATAATGACCGCGTCGCAGCACATTATCCCTTACTTAGATATTTTTCATGCTACTGTCTCTCAGTTTCATTCTACACTATGAGTGAAATCTGAGCTTTCCATTACTAAAAACATATAGAATATATTACTATAAATACCCTCTATGGTTGGGTGGCTCACTGACAGCAACTCCTTACCAAAATACAGATGGTGTTCTATTAGCAGCCTCTGCTGGTCATGTTGATTAAGGGATCAATACTGTGGGGATTGCCCACAGTATTGAGTATGTAAATCGCTTTGGATAAAAGCGTCTAACAAGTGACATGTGATGTAATATATCCACCTAGCTGGCTGGAACATGGATTACGAAATGATGTTTTAAAAGCATGAAATAGGTAACTCTTAAAAAAGATTCAATTTATTGCTACTTGTTTTCAATGATCAAATATTGCTGTGAGAAATGGGGCATTGTACTATTTTTAAGCAATTTGTGCATTTGTCATCCTCAGTGACTCACGTGATAGTAGGACATGTACTACATGACGTCCCTGGACAAACTGTCTGTCCCCACTGCCAGCAGTCAGTGGTCACCAGGACAGAGCGCACAGCAGGCCTGATGACCTGGGCTATCTGTGCTGGCCTCGGCGTCTTTGGGTAAAAACAACAATATTTTCTTGTAGTGTCTGTTTTATGGGGGGGAAAATGTTTCTAAAACACACCAGAATATCCTCCTTTAAAGGTCACCTATTATGCAAAATCCACTTTTTCGTGTCTTTTATATATTTAAATGTGTCCCCAACAAACAAGAGATTCTGAAATGTTCAGGAAAAAAACATTTGCTCACTTTTTGTTCCTGATCCATTTATATAAAACCTGTCTGAAAATGAGCTGATCAGATTTTGGCCACTTTATGATGTCATAACGATTTTTGGTTTGTGTAACCATTAGCCAATCACCAACCAAGGCAAGACGCGCCCACCTTATCACCTGAATATCCTCTTAGAGCACCACTGTGGGTTTTTAACCAAATATCTCTCAGAGGGGCGTGGGGAGGGGCTCCTTATTTTCATCTAAGTAACAGACAGAGAATTAGCATTTTTGAAACAGGGCTGAAACAGAGGGGATTATGGGATGCTACAATGATCTGTTTGGTATTTGGAGCCAAACACTTCAGAGACATGTTTTGTATATATCTGAGACCTATATATTGATGAAAAACGGTATGATAGGGGACGTTTAAGAACTGTTAATTGTAGAGTTATAATTGACGTTGTTTCCTCCTACAGGTGTTTTCTTTGCTGTTGTATACCATTCTGCATTGATTCCTGTCAAGATGTGGAGCACCGTTGTCCTTCCTGCCAAAGAATCATCTACGTTTACAAGCGAATGTGAAACCAACTCTGATTAAGGAAGAAGACCTAAATTCTTATCTGCACCTTTACTTACTCTTTGATTATTTTTACACTGATCAAAATGATACCGTAAAATACATTTATCCTATGCTGACATTGTCCTGGTAATTTTGCTACTTTTTCACATTTCAATGCTAACGACGTAAGCCTCACACTACAGGGAGTCACATTAAGCAGTGAGTGGTGAACTTGTAATTCAATACAAAACTCTTACATGATGCTATTATTATATTATTTCATAATACAAACACAAACAATTATGTTGATGAAAGATATACAAAATAACTGTGTCTTCTGTAGTTATGAGTCTCTGTAAAACCAAGACAACAAGATTAACCACTGATAAGAGAAAACAGACGTTGTAATTTTTATTAGTAGTTTTAATTTTTTAAGTCCTTACACATGTGGTCGACACGGATATACTCATAAAAGAAATAGTAAAGATAACAAAACATAAAAGCGTACATTTGTGAGTGTAGAGAGGGTAGAATCTGTTTGGATAACTGCTGTCTTTGGTGAAATAGATATTGTTTTTCTATTTTGGCATTGCCTCCGGTTTCGGAGAAATCATGTTTTGTTAAATTCTTCAAGGTAACCTTTTTGGAAGGCTGTTGTTCCTTTGACATGTGTTTTGCTAAGAGGCTCCTAGCCATTGTGGTTTGCTGATCTTTTTTCAACGTTTATCTATCTAACTAATCCTCTAATAACTCCTAATATTAATAGCCGAGTATGGATTTCTAATCTGCTGTTCCTAGACCTGCTCTTATTAGATAAGCACTGAGCGGTAAAACACCACAGCAACATGGAGGTCTCTCAGCTGGTGCATCTTTCTCCAGAGAGGGCTGTACCAAAATGTAAGCATAGTATACACAAAGTAAAACATAATGCATAACAACGCAGGGCTAGCTCAAAAGCACAACAGAACTTGATACAGTCTATTGCTTTAGAAAGGATGTGCCTGTTTTTGTCAACCTCCTTATGATGCTTACTGATCCCTTTCCTGTAGCCTTCATTGAGTTGGACAGTTGTGTTTACTTTCCTTAACATGCTGGTCGCATAGTAATTTCCACGTGGATTCTAGTTTGTTCATGCTTTTTATTTTTTATTTTTAATATGTGCTTTCAGTCGCAGACACCTGTCTTGATCCAAGCTGGGTCTGATCCTGACGTTTGAAAAATTAGGCAGGGGAAGCAAAAAATACTAATAATATTTGCTGGCTGTACTGCTTTTTACACTGATCAACATTATAATGTAAAATACAATTATGCTGAAATTGTCCATGGTTATTTTTCGCTTTTTCACATTTGAATGCTAATGACATATGCCTCACACTTTGGGGATTCTAAATAAGCAGTGAGTGGTGAATTAGTTAAATAAAAAGCTGTAATACGAAAATATTCTATATTATATTTGTATACACAAACAATGTTTTTGATAGAAGAAATAATAATAACTGTCTGTATATCGTGAATTGCTGTAAAACCAAGACTACCACATTTGACTATTTAGTAAGGTAAAACATTTTAAAGTATAGTTGCTTTTCTGTTTACTGCTTTAAGAAAGAAAAACAATCTAAACAAAGGTCCACAAACTAATCAAGTTGTGGATCTTTTATCTAAGCAATCAGGAACGTTAGAATATAACATACATGCCAACCTTTCCAAATCCAAAAGAGGTAGGTTTGCGCGCGGCAATTGTGCACACCCAAATGAAGTAATCAGAAGAAATGGAACCCCAGAAATTACATGTATAAACCATGTATTTAATTAACATATATTGCATCATTTTATTCATTTTTAATAAAAAGTGGTAGTTTGGTAAACAGTGACATCAACGACATGTTTGGTCTGTAAAATGCCCGAAAAGTGAAAGAATGGGAGATAAATATCCCAAAGTCTCCACATTTTATTATATTTTTTAATGTGTTTCTGGTCCTCTTTCAGTTGAGACAGTGCAGATGAAGGATGTGTTGGTGTTGAAAATGTCAGAAAATGTCAGAAAAAGTGAAAGAATGGGAGATAAATATCCCAAAATCTCAAAATGGTATTATATTTGTTGTGTGTTTGTGGTCCTCTTTCAGTTGAGACACTGTAGGTGAAGGGTGCTTCAGGAAAAGACCAAACACTGGATGTCTTTCATTTGCCAACATGTGTTTTCGAGACACTGATGTTAACGGGGAAACCCTGCAGGACTCAAATGCCTCGTCTCTGTTCTCCAAACTCATTTGGGAGTGATTACCCATCAGCCCCAGGGATAACGCTGCCCTTCCTCTGCACGTTGTTTCACTTTCAGAAACACAGAGGACTGTTTGTATGATGGGATCACAGACACGGTGTCCGCCGAAAGTCGAGTCCAGTGTCTATGTAGTGTAATTTTTATTTGTTATAGTTTGGGAAGATTGAAAATCGGTAGGGAAAGCCAGCTAAGTCGGTAGGCGGTAGAAACATGTCAAAACAGTAGACAACCGCCCAAATCGGTAGGGTTGGCAGGTATTATAACATAATGCAAAGATATAAACATGGTGATTGAAGTTAAGGCCCAGATACACCGGCAAGTCACCTGAGAAGTCGCCGACGCCGACACCAACTGTTGCGTCGCCGGACTCTCCTGCGTATTTGCCGACTTCGCGCACTGGAACACACCGCAAATCCGAGCCGAGCACGTATGAACTGCGCATGCGTGAGTGGCAATAACTCTCCTTACCAGCAGGCGGCGGTAGTGTGTATTCATCATTCAAAAGAGGCAACAACTAGAACAACCGGAAAACAGAGAAGAAGAACAGACTGTGATATAAACAAACAACAAATAGCGTTTTTCTTTCCATTTTCACTCTCGTCCATTGAAAACATGAACGAACAGGAGCAGGACGAACGGGAAGTACTGGAGCTAGCAGCCCTTGGACTCACGCTTGTATTAAATCATTTGTTTACCTCCCTCACTTCCGTTAACGCTTCTCAGGCACTGATTCGCTAGCTGAACAGCCAATCAGTGTTATCCCTTTGTCCGACTTCCGGTGGTGTTTTCAAGAAAAGGTGTCAGGTCGGCAGAAAAGACCCGACGGTGCGGCGCACACCACTCCGAATAGGTCGTGCCCACGCTCATGTTCGGCCTGACTCCCATTTACTGCCGATTTCGTGCCGGTATATCTGGGCCTTTAAAGATGATAATGTTGTAAAACAGTATGAGACAGAAAATGTACGAAAAGTCAGTCTCGGGCATTTGTCTGAAGACTGAGTGTAAATAACCCAATTTGTGTTCTTTGAACCTGAAAAGGATATTGCATTGTTTTTGTTACTTTCATTGCTATTATATACATCAACTTCCTGTTTTTTTTTAGACATGCTTTAATTTTAAAGGTGACTTTGAGCTATTAACAGGAAGTTACTGTTCCCAAAAGGAAAACTAGAGATAAAGTAAACACATTAACGGAGATATCTACATTTAAATACGGCAAAATCAAAAGAAAAAGTTTACATTACAGTATTAGAACCCCCAAAGAGGCACAAGGTTAGTATTAACTATGTAAAAATGTGGGTTATATCCTAATTCGTTTGGCCTATACTGTTTTAAAACTTTGCTTATTATTTGCAGTTCACTTGTTTAATGGTTTGCTAAAGTGAAGCTAATATGAATGAAAGTTAAATGTATTTGTTATTTTGTGTCTTTGTATAGCTCTTATGTAGATTTTTTGAGTTTTCAATACATTTGGAATCATCAGTCAAGTGTGTGATCATCTTTCGGAGGGATATGCTACACAGAGAGGCTTACAGTTCTACTTTCGCTCAAAGTAAATATTAACTTTAAATACTGATCAAGCTTGTTGGGAAAGCTTACTTCTGCAATTGCTAAACAGACAATCTGAGAAAAAAAAACGCTCACTAATGTTAGCCGCATCTTCTTATGCTGTTATTGAAAAAAACAAGTCCTCCAACTCATACGACCAAATAAGTTGTTTGTTCAAGCGCTTAGCACGACCTATAATCATGTTTTCAAGTTTTCGACGTCTAGTGCTCCCGTTGACTGCAAACGTTACAGAGGGTAGTTTATTCAAAAATAACCCTCCTTGTAGGATAGTTTGGCTATTAAAATGCTTTTTGATTAGATTTCTAGCGAGAAGTGTATATTGTACTTTTAGAAATCGGAAAACATTTAAAAAAAGAAAACTTTATTCCGAGTGTTCTTGCTTTTCTCTTTGGAAGTCATCACATAACGGCATTGTAATACACGGTTCGGCTGCATTAAATATTACATATCTGCCGTAGTTCTTTATTTATAGAGCCTTGATCAGAAGACCTTTGGACAAACTGGAAGAAATGCCGCCGAAACTGATATTTTCCAAAGATATTAACAGGAGGATGTGCAAAACAGACAAACTACTAAGGCTTTATTTAAACATTAAAGAATACTTTAAGTTAAGTTCTGCTTTTGAATAAGAGAAAAACATTGGGGGAATCAACAGATAAATATTAAGTCTGACAAAGTTCTTAATGTCTAATATATTGCATAGTTATATTTTGGCACTTTGACAATCACCTTCCCTGAATTTTTACTCAGGTGGTAACTAAAAGTCTGATTTAAGGGTTGTTATTTTCACATTCCACAAGTAAATGTAGTGGAGGTAAAATATACCAGGTTTAACCTCTGAATTGTAGTGGAGTAGAACAAAGTAGACATGCTGCGTTTAACAAAAACATTTCCCAACATTGGGATCCCAATGCAGTATATCCTTATCTTATCTTAAAGATGAATCGGGTGGCTTCTGCCATATTTGACAAAATGTGTCCTCTGAACCTTGCACAGTGCATGGTTTTCAGCTTATCAATTAACAACAGGAGGGGTCCACATACATAAGACCAGCTGTAATAAAGCTATTCTGACTTTAGCTGATCATGTGGGTATAATATTAATGCTGCCCATTATGCGAAACAAGCAATTTTCACCCATTTATTAATTATATGTTTTAAATTTCATAAACACCAATGTGTTTCGTATCCCCTAAACCCCAGGGTGAGTAAACAGTTTAATCTGGCAAACTTCTAATTGTGGAAATACGGAAAACGTCTTTTAAAACTTTACACATTCCCAGTAGAGACGTGCTATAGAACATTTGCGAAACACAATAGCCAGCCATGTGTAGTTCTGGGCTGGACCCGTCCAAGTCCAGTTTTGGAAAGTTCTGCCGTGGTTCCATTCCACTTCAAAAAGCTGATTTGCACGCTCAGCGTAACCCTTGTTGCACTGCCACTCCAACATCCAATCACAGAGCTTGAGGACTAATCACGGGTTTGTAAAGCAAGGCGGATTTTTTTTTTTTTAATGTATCATAAAAACGATAGCTCGGAGATTCTATGGTAGTGTAGTGTCTTCGGAAAACTCTGTAGTGGTCTAAACTCCGAAAAACTATTTGTTTCTCCGATGAAGTTAAAAAAAACAAAAGCATTTACACAATCTAAACCAATCAATATTGTGTAATTAACAAGGATAAACTGATGTTTTTTTCGTGGATGAGTACATGCAGCATATCACTTGTAATCATTGACGGTGAGGGGAATACTTCCGGTTTTATTATGAAAACTTGAGACCGGAAATACTGTTTGCACCCGTGAGGGGTTGACGCTAACTTTTACATGGAAGCTGGCCGCATATACACTTCTCGTGCGAGATCACATCATCTGAATATCTATCAAACTATAGATCCTACACATCCACTTGAATGTGATTATAAAGAGTACAATATAATTCTCGCTTAGTAGAAAATCTAATCAAAAAGCATTTAATGGCCAAACTATTGCACAATTAGGATTTTCCAGAAGGGTATATTTTGTGGAATAAATGACCCTCCGGAAGTTTGCAATCAACAGCATGTTGGTTTCTTACACAACCACCAGAGGTGCTTACACTTTAAAACATGAGTCTGGGTCGTAATAAAACTGCTGAACAATCGACCTGTATAGGTCGTTTTTTGTAGGAGGACAGGCGAAAAAAACACGCTGAACATGTTTGAAACACCATCCTAACGTTCATCTGGCTGCTTATTCTTGAAAGTATTCATCTATTATATAATTTTCCAATAACTTCATATTGACTCTTATTGCACTATTTCGACTATTCACTTTTTTTAAACTATTTTTATTTTTGTACTTTGACTATTTACTTGCACTTATATTTTCTTGTTTATCTGTTTTTATTGTGTTGCACTGTTGGAGGAGCCTGTGACCTCATCGTCATAATACACTGTTAAGCTATGTTCGTATGACAAATAAAAAAACCTTGAACCCAGTCACTGGAATAATTTGTTAGCTGTTAGCAGCGTTGTACATGCAGGATTTTGCCCTGGTGTCTTTGCAAATAAAAACTTAACTGACAAGGTATTCACTTTTTTGATGTTCTGGTTA